GGGGGGGGGGGGGGGGGGGAATTTTTGCCCGTGTGCTTGACGGTGGCCCCGGGAAGTCGTGCGCCCGTCCTTGCGGCTGTCTGTTGACGTTAATGGCGTTCCGGGGGTAGGTGGAGTACTACGCGTCTTTCCGTGTGACTACTGTGCGGCTCAGTTGCACAGGAGGTGCAGCGAAGCACCTTTTCCTAGTGTGCACATGACAACGGCAGCGGCCGTTCGCATCTTGCCGAGCGTTGCGTATTCCGATCGCTGTGCCGTTGTTGTTGAGAGGTTATGTGCAGACTACTGGCTGTGCCAAGATTGCGATCGTTCTCCAGCTGCAATGCCACAAGTTGGTTATGGGCTCGGCTCGGGGGTATGTTGTCGAGAAGGCGAGTTGGTAGACAGTTCAGTCGTTTTTATTCAAGAATAATATTATTTGGCATTGCTCGTGATGCCGAAGAGAACACACAGTACTGCGCCAACGACTGCTGCCGTACAGAGAGAAATAGAGCATCACTAAACATCACAGCGTCCACTTTTTTTTTTATGATGATACCGGCGACAGGTGGCGGGAGGGCTAGTACGCGGGGGCGGTGATGTAAACGGCGGCGACGGTGGTGGCGGGAGGGTGTCGCGGCGACAGGCGGCCTTGTCGGTGGTGCGGCAGAGCGAAGGTTTCAGGTCGCTGGAAGGCGTGTTGCTTGAACGGCGGCAATATCTCAAGGAGATGGAAGCGCAGGTACATGCCTTGCGTGCGTGTAGGCGGTTTGTTGCCATTGTTGTGCAAGGAAGCATCGCATCGCAAGCAGGAGTCAGCCCTTGAATATGTTTGTTTTCTTGGAAGCACGCGCATTGTCTTTGGATCGACCGAGCTCTGCGAGTGACCAATGAAAAATATGAGGGCAATGGATTGCGTGTGTTTCTGTTTTTGGGACGGCAGGAAATGAGGTGGACTGACTGACCTGCAGCTCGTGGTTCGGTCTGTTTTTTTCTTTCTCTTCTTGTCTTGACCACCGTGTGCCCGCGACGTGTGTCGATGCGAACCACAGGACGAGCAGGAGCAGGAGACCCTGCGAAAGCTCCGGGGGTTCGTCCGGAGGATGGACAGCCAGATGCAACTTCTGCGGGAGCAGGTATGTGCCCCATCCCCCAACCTTGACCCCGATTGCAGTGGGAGGTGGGAGTGAGCGAGGAAAAAGAACAGGGAGAGTTTACCCCCCCATCCCCGCCCCTCCCGTTCCGGCAAGACCAATTGTTAAATTGGTTGCTGTTAAATGGTGATGTTTTGCTAGGAGTTGCAAGGGTGCCTCAATATATTCATTCCATACCTACGTAGGTACCCATTTGTTTCTCAGTTGGGGAGATTTTCGGAGGGGGGGGCGGGGGGGCGGGGGGGGTACCGGTGGTCTAAATACTATATTTATCATGATCCCCAGGTTTAAGTTCGAGCGCCCCTATGCATGAGCTATGTAGGACCCGCTGTTGCGGACCCCCCAGTATTCATCACACAACTCGGGTACAAAGCACGTCAAGAGAGCACCCATCTGGCAGGCTAAGACTACGCGAAAGCCGTAACACTGTAGTAGCACACCATGTGTCCCCCACGAGCAAGTTGCGTGACCCTAAACCCCAGGAAGACTAATTTGTGAACAACATAGTACCGGCCCTCTGGGGGCGAGGGTGTGGGTACCTATTTGTGCGGGTTGTCTTTTTACGGGCACCCGTGAGTGAGTGGTTTCGGTTGGTTGAAAGGATGGGTCAGTTTTGTTGGTGGCACGGTCTCTGTGCTGGACTTGGTGGGAAGCACACTAGGTAGACACCAGACATCATGAGTTTTTTTTTGGCAGCACCAAGGAAACGAAGGGCGAAATAAACAAGACAAAAGGAAAATAAACAATCTCCCACGCGGATGTAGATTATGTATGTCGGAGAAACATGCGGTCACCGCGAGGCACCACAACATTAAAATTTTTGCGATGGCCTCGAAATGCGCCTGCCTGGTTGAGTACGGAGGCTTGATATTGATTTGCGATTTTTTTTCGTTTTCTTGCTTTTTCTCCAGGTGTTCCGTAAGAGAGAGGAGTCACACATTGCTATACGATGAACCCTATGCGTATCAACAACAACAACGGGGAAATATGAACTCGCAGAAAAGAAACACAACACGGAAGAGAAAAATGGGAAAAAGAGACATTACAGAAAACATCAAAGCTCCCACGCGGAGTTGAACCACGGACCTTACGCTTACTAAGCGTACGCTCTAACCAACTGAGCTATGAGAGCACTTTCGGAGATAGTGGTTGACACGTGTTTCATTTTATCAATGACAGTGCAAACGAGACAAGAACTAGCGGGTCTCTCGAAGTAGGGATGAAGTGCTGTATGCGTGTGCTTAATGTAGCGTCAACCACACGGATTAGACCCGGTTACCAAGCAAGACGTCTATCGGTCAGTCTACAATACCTTTCTCTCCGTCCCCCTTCGGTCTCCCGATTCGTGCCTCGTATTTTAACTCAAAACATTTCTTGGTGGCTTGTCAGTCTGTTCTTTCACCGCTGCGGTCCCGAAAAACGATTGATTTCCTTGGTCACATCGCACAACACCTGTTGCCGCTTTCTCTCCCTTTCGTGCATCCATGGTCACATCATACAACACCTGTTGCCGCTTTCTCTCCCTTTCGTGCATCCATGGTCACATCATACAACACCCTGTTGCCGTTTTCTTCTCCTTCTCGCGCGTGCGATGGCACGCGAAAGGCGGAGGCCGGTGTGGCGTCGCGCGGCGCTCCGGAAGACCCGGCGGCTTCCGAGTCGGTATCGCTCGCGCAGCTGGACGAGTTAAAGACCATGCGGGAGGGAGTCACCGTGCTTGCGGGGTCCACCAGGTTGGAGTAAAGGGCCCATGAAACCGCGCGCTGTTCTTGTTGGGGGAGTTTTCGTGGTGTTATCTTGTCCATTTCTTTTCGTGGTGGTTTTGGTCGGGATTCCTTATGTGTTGGGACTGGAATTTTGTCTCTTGTTTGTGGTTGGTTGTGCTATCGGTCGTTGTTCCCCCCCCCCCTGCCCCCTCCCAACGTTTTCCTCGACGCGTGCGTGTCCGTCTCTAGTTGTGCTGCGTATGAAAGGCCAGCCCCTCTTTGAAGCTCTACTTTATTCGGCACAGCAGTTGTTCGTGGTTGTCTTTTTTTGCCAAAGTCACTGGGATGGTTCCGTGGTGGAGCCGTATGCTTGTTTGTCGAAATCAGATGGAGGGAGGGCAGTGCCGACGACAGGTCTACGGTAGCGATGCTTGCGTAGAGTAGAGTAGGGGGCCATGATGCCATGATGATGTGCAGGTTTGCACCACATGTTTATTTGTTTTCCAATGCAACCGGTCGCCCCGGTGTAGTTGGTATCCTCGAAAGCTTGTTGAGGTCAGGTCAGGGGTTGGAATCCCGGCGTAAGCAAGGTTTTCTTGTAAGGTGAGTTTTTGTCTCGCTTCCGCTCCTGACCTAGTGGATCGCGCTAGTTCGTGTGTACACAGAGGGAAGAAAGTGCTGAACGCTTCTCGCATTAACAATCGAAGGCAACGTACCGCAGTAGGGGCGGGTAGAGAGCGGCCCTTCTGTGTGACCACGGGTTGGAGTAAACGGCACTATCATTAATAGTGCCGTGAGCGCTGATTTGAAGTGAAGAAAAAAAATAAATACATAAATGTATACTTTTTCTCCCATCTAGGCTGTTTCGCGTTGTGCTCTTTGACTCGGTATTTTAAGCGGAGCTTGTTTGCAGAGGTTCGTGCTTGGAATTTTGGTGTCATGATGCCCTCTCTCCTACGGCACATGCGTGCCACGGCCCCATTTGGCTTTTCTTCTCCCTGTCGTGTGAGTGATCGCTCCGGTCCCCCGTCTCCCGCCCCCACCCCCGTGCGTGCGTGCAACTCCCGCGTTGTCTCATGATTGCACCCCCATTTCCATCCGCGGGCGCAACGACAACAACGTGGACAACAAAACAACAACAAACAACAATATCGACAATAACAACAATGTGGACAACAACAACAACAACAACAATGTGGACTACAACAACAGCAACGCGGTCGAAGAGGGCGAGCAATGGACCACCGGCGCGGCGCAAGAGCTCGAGGCACTCGTGTCCCGCTCCCCGTTGTCCCACCAGCACATGTCCACGGAGGAGACAGAGGAGTCCGAGCTGGACGCCGACGAGACGTGGAAGGCGGACTTTGAAGCCCCCCTGGAAGAGGCGTTCCTCGACCTGGAGGGCGTCCTCGGAACTGTCAACTCGATAATGGACGTGGCAGCCGCGAAGCCCGGCGCTATGGTGCGTGCGCGTTATTTTTTTAGAAAGTCAACAGAATCTCACAGAAAGACCACCCGTTCGAGATATGCTGTACCTCAGTCGAAAGGGATGTGGTGAAGTCTTTTCAGTAAGTGGATGCTATTTTTTTGTTATCAATGCCTCCCGCGCTAACCGGCTGAGAAAAGGAGAAAAAGTCAGTCTGTAGCGGGATGCAAAACATGTGCGTATGTGTGTTTGAAGTGGCATCGACCACGCTAACGGGCTGACCAATAAAAATACTGAGTTTTGCCCGTGTGTGGGTGTTGTCGGTGTTTATGAGCAGCAGTGGGAGGTTGGAGTACTGGCGGCGATTCGGGGGGGGGAGAAAAGTGTGCTATTACAGTGGTGGCGGTCGAATCCGTGTTGGTCCCATCATGGACGTGCCGTTCTTACAAGGTCGAGCACATGACAACACTGCAATGCTGAGACAGAGTTCCGGAACGCAGGTCCAAGCTCGCAGAGAGCCGGCGGCACGACAAGAGTCGAGTGGAGTTGGCGGCGATAAGATTGTCATGCGCTGNGGGGGGGGGGGGGGGGGGAAACGTTATGTACCGTACCATCCCACGTGTTCGTTCCGCGGTGAAGTGTTGCTCTTGTGATTGGAGGGCAAGTGATGCAACCCCGGGCAAGAGCAAACGAGGAAAAAATGCTCGAATCTTTCGCGGTGGTCCTTGACCTGCGGCGGTGTTCCATGCCGTGGTCGCCACATGTTGAAATGAAATCCCGCCGCGCTGCTGCTGTTTTTTTTCTTCCCGCTGTGCGCAGGAGGGCGGCGCGTACGTCCGCCTGGTAGAGGACGCCGGGCTATCTGCTGCTGCCGCTGCCGATGCCGCCGCCGCTGCGGATGGGGATAGAAGCCTGCAGATGAGGGTCGAGGCCATCGTTGCCCAAGAGGTAGGGGAAGTGGTGCACAGTGTCTGAGGAGTGTTGGTCCTTCCCTTGCTGTCGCTGCCGTTGCTGCCGCTGCTGCCGCTGCTGTGGTTGCTGCTGTTGCAGCTGTTGTTGCTGCTGCCGCTGCTGTGGTTGCAGCTGTTGCAGCTGTTGTTGCTGCTGCCTTTGCTGCCGTTGCTCCCGTTGCTGCCGTTGCTGCTGTTGCTGCCGCTGCTGTCGCTGCTGCCGCTGCTGCCGCTGCTGTGGTTGCTGTGGTTGCTGCTGTTGTTGCTGCTGCCGTTGCTGCCGTTGCTGCCGCTGCTGTGGTTGCTGCTGTCGCAGCTGTTGTTGCTGCTGCTGTTGCTGCTGCCGCTGCTGTGGCTGCTTCTTCGGCGTTGTGACCGCCGCCTGACATGTAGTGTTGAGAGCTAGCTCTGCTCCTGTTTTCCGCGGCTGCTGCTGCTGCTGCTGCTGCTGCTGCTGCTGTCTCCTCCGGTGTTGGTTGCTACTGCTGCTGTTCTGATGCCGTACGTTGCTTTCTCCGCACCGTCTGTATGGGCTGGGACAGGTTGCGCTGAAGTGGGGAGAGGCTGAGGCCACGGGCGAATACGGCGGAGGGGACGCTGTGTCTAAGGAGGCAGGGGTATTGGCGACTGTAGAGGAAGCCGAGGAGTTCGTTGCCCGGGAAGTAGAGGTACGTGCACACACAGGCGCTTTTTTTGCATCGCGATCCCGCTGTCCCCTTTCCATGAGACGTGTGAATGGGGTATGTGGCTTGTCTCCGTGCAATACAGAAGTTTTTGTACATCGCACTCCGCTGCTTCGTTTCCACGAAATCCAGCTTTGGTTCTGTGCAAGTACTGATGTTTTGTACCACATATCAGCCCCTTTGTCACGTTGGGACTCTCTCTGAAGCCACTGTCGGTTTCTCATTTGTTGTCGGGTTGCGTTGCCCATAGCCTTGTCGCATCGATACCAGCCCACCCGATGCTGTTCGCGCGAAACTATCACCTCTGCCGGCCGGTATGCTGGGTGGCACCTCTTCGCCCTCCGTCCTCCGTCTTCTTGAGGACGCGTGATCAACGATCTAATCGCTGAGACATGAGGACCCCCCCCCCCC